CGAACCGGCTCATCTTGAGCCCCTTGAGGAGCGTGTCGCCGAGGATGACGGCGTACGAGTTGGTCAGCTCGCCGATGCGCACCGACTCGCCGAGCGCCGGCGCGTACACCTCGCGCGTCATGCTCTTGACGGCCTGGAGCGCGGCCAGCATGTCGCGCCGCGTGGCCGCATCGCCATTGACGGTGATGAGCCGACGCGGGTGCATCTGCGGGATGAGTGTCTTGAGCGCGCGCCCGTCGTTGAGGCCCTCCATCTCGACGAATGCGAGGCGGCACGACACGGCGACGCGGACGTGCTCGGTGATGAACTTGGACGGTGGCGCCGGTGCCTGCGCGCGCACCTCGCCCGTACGCCGCCGCTTGCCCGTCTTGTCGTCGCCCGTGTTGGCCTCGCCGAGGGCGTCGGTGCCGGTGCCCCCTCCGCCGCCCTCGATCTCCTTTCGCCGGCTGAGCCAGCGCGCCACGTCGATCGTCTCTCCGTAGCCGTCGATGCGCCGCTTGCGCTCGACGACGGGAAACAGCCGGTACCGCACGCCGACGCCAAAGGGCCCCTCCTGACCGGCGCCGCCAACCTTGGAGCCGAAAAAGGTCGTGGCGCGGCTGGCGTTGCCCTTGAGGTAGATGTCGAACGAGACCTGCGTGGCAGCATCGCCGTTGGCTCCGTCGTCGAGGCCGCCTCCCGCGCCGGCAGCACCGCCCGCCCCGCCCCGCCCGCCGCTCTCGTCAAACGCGAGCGCGTGGTTGCGCTTGCGGCCCATGCTGCCCGGTTCAGCAAAGCCTCCGCCGGCGATCTTACCCACCGGGGCGCCTTTTCCCGCGCCATCTCTGTCGTCCTCGTCGTCGTCGTCGTCATCATCATCGTCGTCGTCGGAATCCGACTCGTCGTCCTCGTCGGCCTCGAGTCGCCGCCGCGACCGCGCCAGGAGGGCCCGCTGCTGCGCCTGCTTCTCCTTTTCCGCCTGCTCCGCCTCGAGGTGGGCGCGCAGCTCGTCGCCCTCGAGCGGCACCTTGGACTTGAGCTCGAACTCGACCTCGACCTGCGGCGGCGAGACGGCGCTGCCGAGCTTGCCGTTGGTCCAGCGGAACTGGTCGTCCTGGCTGGTGCTCCACACGTCCCAGAGGTGGCGCGACAGGCTGCCCGGTTGCCCGCGCTGCAGCAGCACCACGAGGTCGTTGGGGTTCTCTGCGAACCGGGCAAACAGCCTGCGCGAAGGGCCGTGCGTCATCGACGGCGGCACCGCCAGCACCACCTTGGCCTGGTCGCGCGGCACCGCCTCGTCGAGCGCGGCCAGCGTCGGGAAGACCTTGAGGAACTTGAAGTCGAGCGGCGAAATGGGCGCCTGCTGCGACTTTGCACCCTTGCCTCGCCGGTTGCCCTGGCCGCCGCCGCCGCCGCGCGCGCCGCGGGCGCCCTCGCCTGCCTCCTCGGTAGCCGCCTCGCCGGCCTTTGTGGCCCACTCGCGCGTCATCCACTCCATGTAGGTGCGCGACCGCTCGAGCACCTCCTTGCCCGTGCGGCTGACGAGGCAGAGCGGGAAGCGTGCGTGCGGGTACGCGTAGGCCCAGTGCTGGTCGAGCAGGACGAGCAGCTCGAGCAGGCGCGCCGACGGGTCGACGGGGAACAGGACCGAGTGCCCGCCCTGGATCGTCTTGTGCACGAGGTCGAGGAGCGCGGCGTCGCGGTCCTTTCGGCGCACGTTGACGACGAGGCCGCGCTGGATCTCGGTGATGAGTAGGTCAGGCCGCCGCACGGCGTCCGAGATGCCGCTGGGCGCACCGCCGGCCGCCGAGGGTGCGGCGGCGCCGGACGAGGCGAGGAGCGCGGTGCCGTCGAGGTGGCGCTCGCGGTTGTGGTTCCAGTCGAGCGCGATGAGGACGGTGCCCGACGTGGGGCTGCGGAGCTTCCACACAGCGCCTCCGAGGGCGTGTCCGGCGTTGTAGGCGGTGAGCGTGATGCCGGTGCACTTGCCCTCGAGGTGCGTGGGCTGGAGGTAGCGCACCGTCTTGATTGCCTCGAAGGCCTCGTCGACCTCGTCGAGCGTGGGGATGCAGCGGCGGTCGGCGAGGCCGCCGGTGGCCTCGAGCTCGGTGCGCTCGCGGTCGATGTCGACCTCGGTGCGCCAGGCCTCGACGGCCTCGGTGACGGTGAGCTTGCCCATGCTCTGCACGGGCATGGTGGCGTAGACGAGGCAGCGGAGGCCCAGGCGCGCGTAGGCGTAGGCGTACAGGCCGAGGTGGGAGAGGGACGAGTGCGAGAGGAGGACGAGGTCGATGGTGGGTGCGAGCTGGGCGAGGATCTGGTCGAGCGGGCCCGAGGCGAGCGTCTCGAGGTCCTTGTGTCGCTGCTCCTGCTGCTGCTTCTGTTGCTGTCCGTCTGCACGGCCCTGTGCCATGGCTGACGATTCTGCTGGCGGCGAGGAGGCGTCGCTGTCGTCGCCGTCGATCTTGCTGGGCTTGGCTGCCGCAGCCGAGGGGTCGACAGGGGCAAATAGAAAGTCCTCTGGAGCGCCGCAGTCGATCAGCACGCGGATGTCGTCGATCTGGAGCAGGTAGGCGAGCGCCTTTGGCTGTTCGAGCTCGGCATCGTCGTCGTCGTCGGCGGCTGCAGTCTTTGTGGAAGGGTCGTGGTGTTTGAGCGTGGTGCGCACCGCTGCGTCGCTGGCGGTGGCATAGGGCACCGATAGCGGCAGAAGGGTGATCATGCCGGGCGCGCGGATAGAGGAAAAGGTGGCCGGCCGGGATGGCCGCTGGAAGGAAGGGCGATGGCGAGCGGCGGATAGATGGAGGCGGTCAGAAAGAAGGCCGTCCGCCGAGAAGAGAGGTGGAGTGAGAGCGGGGGCGGCCGGCCAAGCAGAATGTCGACGCGGATCCGAAGCGTCGCTCCCGCCAGCACCTGGCAGGCAGGCCAGCCAGGATCAAGCCAGCCTGGGCCAGCCAGCCGTCCGTGCACCGCCGAGTGGGCGGCCCCGCACGCCTCGCCAACCCCCTTGGCTCAGGCTTCTTCTCGCCCGACCCTCACCCACCACCCCACGCGCCTACCCGCTTCCTCGCGCCGCGCCTCGACGCCGCCTCTTCCACTCCCCTTGCCTCTTCGCGCACGATGGCGACGCACTACGTGAACCAGGTGGCGCCCAACTACGTCCACGCCGGCATGCGGCCCAGCTCGTCGTCGAGCAACAACGACGACAGCTTCACCTTCACCGTCGGCAAGCTCGACGCCGGCATGGCCATCCTCATCGGCGAGCGCGCGTCCCTCATCGAGTTCCCCTCGCTCCTCCTGCCCCCGGGCGTATCCTCCGGCAGCGTGGTCAACATCCGCGTCCTCCGCAACCAGGACGAGGAGAAGCGCCAGAAGAGCGAGTTTGACCAGCTCCAGGAGGACATCCTGAGCACCTTTGGCACAGAGGCGCCCAAGCGTGAGCACCCCGGCGTGTGGCCTGCTCTCGAGTCGCCTCCCCTTGCTGATGCCGCCCATCCCTCCTCTCTCTCTCTCTTCCTGCTGACAGCCCCGGCGCTGCGGCTGCGCAACGTCACGCAGACGTCGGTCACGCTCGAGTGGGACCGCCTGTCGCTGGCGACGGCGTCGCTCCTCTCGCTCGACATCTACCGCAACGGCCAGCGGCTGGCGCCCATCCCCAATCCGCTGCACAACACCTCGACCAAGCTGTCGGGCCTCGACCTTGACGCAGAGTACACGTTCCACCTGGTGCTCAAGACGACGGCCGGCACCTTTGCCTCGCCCGTCATCCGCACTCGCACCCACACCATCCACCAGACGTCGGGCATCTCGGTCTGCTTTGGCCACGTCGCCGACCCCGAAGTCCTCGCTGCCGCAAAGGACGCCCTCGGCAACATGCAGGCGCGCTGGAGCGACCGCATCCAGATTGACACGACCCACTTTGTCTGCACTGACCCGCGCAACCCGGGCGACACCAACGCCGGCAACGGCCAGGGCAATGGCTACGCCAAGGCCATGCAGCTCAGCATCCCCGTCGTCAAGCCTCACTGGATCTTTGCGTGCCACGACCAGAAAAAGATGGTCGGCATCGCGCCCTACTACCTCGATCAGGACCCGCCAAACGCCACCACGATCCGCGACAGCATCGCCCGGCTGCGCGGCAACCAGGCACCAGCGGCGGCGGCGGCCAGCGCGGCAGCAGACGGCCAGGCAGCGCCGGTCGAGGCGGCGGCCCAGGCTGCGGTGGCAGCGGCAAAGGACATGGATACGGCGGTCGCGCCGGCATCGCCACCGCGGGCGGATCCTGCGCCCGAGCCCGCGGCCGATGGCCACGAGGTCGACGAGCACGATCTGCCTCCAATCCCGCTGTCGATGGTGGCCGGATCAGCGGCAGGTGCGGGCGCGGCAGCGACGGCTGAAGAAGGGACGGAGCACGGACCCCCCTCGCCATCGCCTGCCGACGGGCCTGCTCCGGACGCGACGACGACCAACGAGCTTGGCCTGCAACTGACCGACGGCATCGACGAGCCGGGCTACGACGGCGCACCGACGGCGGCAGCGCACAGGCCGACGCCGCCCGTCGGCAGCCCGAACCCGTCGATCGAGGTGACGGGCCCCGACGAGGAGAGCGGCACGCCGATCGGCTTTGACGACGACGGCGAGGAAATCACCCACTTTCCACCGCATCGTCCTGCCGGCGACGGCGACGACGATGGCGATGGCGACGAGGAATCGATCACGCGGCGGCTAGAGCAGCAGGCTGAGCAGGACCAGGGCGGGGACGAGACGCACACGCAGGCCGACGGCGGCCAAGACGACGCGGACGACGATGAAGGCGAGATGGACGACGTCAGCCTCGGCGGCGGCGGTGGCCGAGACTAGGGGGAAGAGCGGGGATCTAGGCGGTGGCCTGCAGGTATTCGGCGTCGGCTACATAGGCATGTCCTAACTGCAAGTGGAAGGCGAGAATGAAACGGGGATATCTTGGAATACGCTGCGGTGCGGTGGGGTGCGGTGCATGGGGACCCAAGCATGGCATGACAAGGGGCTGGCGGGCGGGCTACTGCCACAGACCGCCGTCGCCCTCGGCGTTGGTCTTTACGCCGCCCTTTGCGCGCTTGCCCTTGACCTTGCCGCCCTTGTTGCCGGCGCTCTTGTAGTACTCGCGCATCTCGTTTTTCGTCGAGCCCGACTCCTGTTCGGCCTTCCACTGCTCCATGCGGAACTCGTGGGCGGTGAGGATGCCGCGCTCCTGCATGCGCTGGGTGCGGCTGGGCGTCGTGGCGCCGCTGCCGGGCAGCGACTCTGCGCGCTCGGCCTCGCGCGCCTCGATGCGCCTCGCTTTGGCGTAGGCCGTCTTCCAGTCGGTGCGGCTCTCCTTGCGCGTCCACTTTGCGCCGCCGCTGCCCCACGGCGGCAGCTCCGGCTGCGACGTCGAGAGCGAGTCGACGGAAAAGGCGTGCTGGTAGGTGCGGTACCAGCAGTAGTTTAGCGTCGCCGAGCGCCGCCAGTGCCGGTTGACCTGCGAGCACGAGACGAGCGTCGACACGGGCAGCTGCAGGAAGATGTGTTGCGAGATCTGTCGGGGTGCAGCGAGGGGCAGGAAGAGGTTGTGAGCGGGCGGGAGGAGTCAGCATGGCTTCGGGATGTCTTCGCTGCGCTGCGCTGCTGGCGCCCAGGCCGGCTCACCTCGCTGGTAAAGGCGCGCAGCGGATCCGTCTTGGAGTGGCGTTTCCTCTTGGCGACCTTTTCCCTCTTCCTCCCCTCGCCCTGGGTCCCATCCTCGTCGTCGTCATCATCGTCCTGGCTGCTTCCGGCCTGGATGGCGTTCCTGAGCCGGGACGCATTGGGGCCGGGCGAAGAGGGGCGCGAGAGCTCTGCGGGTGTGCCGGGCACGGTGTGGGGCACGCTGACAACGTTTACGATTTCCTCGTCGCTCTCGACCGTCTCCCAGTCGTGGAGGCCCTCCTGACCCGGCGAGGCGGTGCCGCCGTCGCTGTCCGAGGCGTCGTGCGTCTGGGGCGACGTGGCGTTGGCCAGGCGCGAGTTGAGCACGCTGTGCAGCAGGTTCGACATGGTTCCGCGTGTCGCTCCTGGTTGCCGTGGTGGTGGTGGTGGTGGTGGTGAATGATAAGCTGGCTGGATGTGCGAGTAGTAAGATAAAGGTTGCTTGCCTGCGGTGGATATAGCGAGCGAGGTCTGGTGGTGGATGGTGGTGGAGCAGTGTCGAGAGGAGTCGGTGTGGCGGCCGAGGCCAAGGGTGACTAGAGGTTGACTGTGAGGCCCGCGTTGGGTGGGGCAGCAGCCTCGCCTGCCATGATGGCTCAGTCCCGACTGGCGGCCCCGTGCCCGCGCTCCCACGGTGGTCCCCAGGGTGCAAGTCAAGCAAGGCGCTTGGCCTAGCCTGGGCTGCCTGCTGGCTGGCCGCTGCCTGCCGCCTGCTTCTGTCACGCGCGGTGAGGTGAAGTCGCAGCAGCTGCAGCCAAGCGCGAGCCAGCCTCGGCCTCCACTCGAGCTCGAGGCCTGGCCGGCAAGCCCGATGGCATCCTCGCCCGCCTCCTGACTCGGAATCGACTCGGCTCAGTCGACTCAGTCGACTCGGACCCGGGTCCCGGGACCCGCACCTTGACTCTCCACCACCACCACCACCACCACCACCACCACCACCACCTCACCGCTGCGGGTCGTTGTGCGCGCCACACGCCAGCCCAGCATTCTCAAGGCACGCAGGTGCGACCATGGCGGCGCGACGGCGACCCCTCGGTGCCGCCTCACCCTCGTCTTCGGCGACGCTACAACGCCTCAACGGCGACACGTCCTGGCTCCTCTCGATCCCATTCCCCCCTCGCAGCCGCAACCAGACGCCCGACTCGCACAACGACGACGACGACGACGACGACCAAGAAGAGCGACCGAGACGATACCACATCCTCATCGACCCCTGGCTCGCGCCGACGGCGCAGACCGACGGCCTGGCCCTCTTTTCGCGGCAGACGCGCGTCGTGCCCTCGTGCTTCCCCTCGATCCGCGCCCTCGCCTCCCACCTCCGCGCCCTCGACCCGCGGCACCGCATCGACGCCGTCCTCTTCTCGCACCCCTTCACCGACCACACCCACCCCGAAACCGTGCTCGATGCCAGAGACGTCCTCGCCGACGTGCACCGCATCTCGACGCCCTACTCGGTCCACGGCGTCAGGTCCCTCCTCGCCCTCCCCGCATCGTCGAAGGCAAAGGGGTCTGACCTCGTCCTCTCCCCGACAGGGGCACCGCTGACGTTACCGGACTCGCCCGGTGTCCAGGTCAGCTACCTCGCCGCAAAGGAGGGCCTTTCGCCCGCCTGGAAAAAGCTCCATGGCGCCGTCCACATCTCCTTTCCCTGCCCCGCCACCCCTCCTCCCTCCTCGATCGGTGCGACTCCCACGACGCACCAGATCCTCTATACGCCCCACGGCCTCGCACCGACCTCGCTGCCACCCTCGCTGCACGCGTCGCCCTCATCGTCGACGGGGGGACAGCGCATCCTGCTCCACTCCTTCGACCGCCAGTCGCTGCCCCTCGTCGGCGTCGTATCGTCTGGCATGCCCAACATCCACGCCCTCGACCATGTGTGGCATCCCACCGCCGTGCTCAGCACCCACGACGAGGACAAGAGGGCCGAGGGCCTCGTCGCCAGGCTCATCCAGAGGCAGCGCTACTCGGTCCAGGAGGTCGAGGACTGCCTCGGCGCCCACGTCGTCGTCCGCTCGCTCGGCGTCGGTGATGTCCTCGAGGTGCCGCCCTGACGACCCAGCCGGGGCGCCCCGCCTCACTCGCCATACCTATACCCGTCGTCTGTTAGAAGTCATACCATGCCCATCGGCTCCGTCTCGCTGCTGTCACGATTGGCCATTCCACATCGTCGCTCTGTCTGTCTGTCGGTCTGCCACGCCACGCCACGCCATGTCGTCGTTGCGACCTTGACCCTCTGCCATCAGGCGCGGCGGAACGTCCGTCCGCTGGCCGTCTTGCGCTCCTTTTCGGCCAGCTCGGGCTTGGCGCGGTTGAGCACCTTGAGAAACTCGGCGACGCGGTGGCGCATCCGGCTGTGCAGGTACGCCTTGGAGCACTTGACTGCCGGTGGGCCACGGGGCGGGCGGACGACAAGGAACGGGACGGGCGTCCGGTCAGCATCGCCGACCGGCCAGCCTAGCGTAGCGGCGCGCCACTCACTGTGGTAATGGAGGTAGTCGCGGAAGAGCTGGATGCGCGAGATGGTGGCGGCCATCACCTCGGGATGCTGGAAGTGGCGCGGGAAGAGGACTGCAGGGGGTCGGGGGTGGGGCGGGATCGACACGGTGCGGCGGTGGGAGGAGGTCAGCTGGCCGACCTGGCGACTGCCCCCTACGCGTGGCTCTGCTCTGCGCTCTGCCCACTTACCAAACGTGACGTATCCGACATCCTCGCCGCGGCTGAGGCCGCCGATGCTGCGGATCTCCAATGGCGGCTCGCGGTTCGAGTAGAGGACCTGGGGCGCGTTCTGGATCGAGGGCTGGCGGCGGGCGTCGACAAACTCCTGGAGAAACACTTTGCCGAGGATCTTGTCGGTCTCGTCCTTGAAGACGGTGCTGAAGATGACGGTGACGCGGTCGACGCTGGGCAGCACGTAGATGGCCTCGTCCTCGCGGTAGTTGATCGACATGATGTCGGTGGCGTTGGCGGGCGGCGCGGCGGCGTTGGGGTCCGACCCCTCTGCCGCCGCCTCGAGCTGGCGCTGCAGGGTAAAGGCGCGCTCAAAGGGTGCGGCCATGGCGTTGCGCTTGAGCAGCGAGACCGAGTGGATCAGCGCATCGCGCTCGGCTGCGTGGGCGGGCGACGGGATGGGTGACGAGGGAAAGCGGATGTCAGCGTGCGTGAGCGAAAGGAAAAGCGGCGGCCATCTGGCGAGGGGTCCGGCGGCAGCGAACGGCGGCGAGCCGAGGCTCCTCGCGACTCACGGCCAGGCGGTGGGATGGCGGCGTAGTCGAATTCGAGGGTGACGCTGTACTCTGGCTCGACGGTGGCGCGGATCCACTGTCCGTACTGGCGGGCGAGGACGTCGTTTGCGCCGGCGCTGACCAGGTCGGACCAGCACTTGATGTCCATGGACAGGGTGAGCGGGCCGGCCTTTGTCGATTCGAGGTGGTAGGCGACGCCGTCGAAATCGGTAAACGTCTGGTCGACCGAAGATGGCCTGGCGTGCGAGCAGAGCAAGGAGGGAGATTGGCCAAGGACAGGTGACATCGTGGTCAGGATGCGGTCGGCAGAGCGGGGAGGACGAGGGTGGGGGGGAGATGCGCAGGCTTACCGGTTGAACTTGTCGGTGAGGACATCGCGGATGATGATGTTTTCGGTGCCTAGGAGGATCATGGCGGGCGTTTGAACGAGCGAGCAGCGAAGATGAGGGGCGAGAAGCGGGGTGTTGGCGGGTGAGGTATGCGATGGGAGTGGAGTTCGACGGGAGCGAGGGGTGGCAGCAGCTGCGGATGGCTGGCCCAGGCCACCAGGTTGGCGCAGCGGCCGTGCGCACAGCCAGCCGGCCTCGTCGACGAATCGGCGATGGCAGGCCACGCCGGCCCACGTACTGCCCAGCAGTCGCCATCTTTCCCGGCATTCGGAGATTTGACCTTGGCCCCATACCCGCCCGCTCGCCCGCCCACGCCCCGCCGACAGGACAGGGTCCAGCAGGGCGTGGCCACAACATCCCTCCTTCTCGACCCGACCCACTCCATCTGCTCCCCTGCTTCGTCCTTGACGACTCAACTGCTCCCGTTCTTCGTGACACACCTCATTCTGGCCAGCAATCGGCACATCTACCTGTTCACCACCTCGCCAAGCTCACAATGAGCTACCTTCCACCCGTCGACCGGCTTCGCCTCCACGCCTCACACCCTTCGACCCGACTACGCACCGACCCATCATCGTCGTATCCCTCCTCGCACCCCTCCGCCTCGTCCTCGTCCGCATCAAGCAGCGCGCACACCGCACAAAAGCAAGCGCGGCTCCACCTCCTCTCGACACGGCGCTCGCACCTCGCACCGTTACCGCCCTCGGCATCCCGGGCGGCGCTGACACGGTCGCTGCACGGCTACCCCCCGCTCTACTCGACCGCAGAGGCGGACCAGCTCTCGGACCTCGAAGAGTCCCTAGACGTCCTCAAGGATACCCTGGTGCGCTTCGGTGATCGACATATCGTCCAGATCGGAAGGAGGAGGACGCTGCACGAGGAGGAAATGAGCGACGACGAAGACGCACGTCGCCCCTCGGCCTCGTTCCACCACGGGGCGGCGGACGATGTCGAGTCCGATAGTCCGCACCTCCTCGTCGGTGGCGCCGGTCGAGGAGCGATACCAAACGGCCGCATCCATGGCCACGCCGACGACGACGATCACGAAGGCGGAGGTGGAGATGTCGAATACGGCGACCCCCGCGCCCTCGCCATCGACCCGGAAGGCGCGCCGGCAACCGTCACCACCCGGCACACGGGCCACGCAGCCGCCGAGGCGGCAAGACGGCAGATGGAGGCCGCAGAGCGCAGAATCAGAGAGGCCGAGGCCGAAGCCACTCGCGCCGCCGCCGTCGCCAACGCCGCCAGGTCCACCGCACAGAGGCAGGCCGCCTTCCAGCTCGAGCAGGACGCCGTCGACCTCGACGCAGACGTAGAGGACCTCGACGACGACGGCGACGACGTCGACTACGACTGAGCGCTCCAGCGCCGCGCCCGTCGCTTTTACCTTTGCTCAGGCAAGGGTACAACAGCACCGCTCGACGGACGGGCAGAGAGGAAATTGTAATGATTGTGTGGGACTACAAAGGCGCACTGTGACAGCAGATCCGACCCGAGG